GTGTTTGACTGAACTAAATCGTTATTGTGATTCCACTTCCAAATCCATTTCTGTGGACTGGCGAACCGGACTTTTCAGATAGTTGCTTATTTTTCCAACCGCTGAACTTTAAATAGCTTTTATTTGTCATCCAGGTTATCCCGCATTTATGCCCATGCTAATTTGTTCATCATCATCCGTACGTATTCATTAGCAGTTTGATTATAGATATTATAGTAAGAAAACTAACACTCCTTGGCTGCGTCCAAGAGGCCAGTCGCTTTGAACCGGCAGCTCCGCTTCAACTTTTTTTTTCAGGAACCTCATGCCAATACGTTATACAAACATTTTTATTATTTTATCACTGAGCACCAGATGGTTTCACCGCGTGAACTGGACGCTCTGGTAAGTTATTTTGCACATGCATGAATTTGCCTTTTTAAATTTGTGGTGCATATTTTTTTAAAAAGATTGTTGCAGAAGGAAATGACCGAGCGACTAATTGTTAGCTCCGGAAATCGTCGGATACGCATCCAGTAAAATAATGCTATCGGGTCTTTCAAGTTTTCTGTGCATCCTGCCTATTGGTGTACCAAATGTAATGCTTTCCGCAGGCGTTCTGCATCATTCATACTGTGATTGCCCGAACTCTCCCGGCGAAAAATCATAAGGAACGATACATGCATAAATTGTAAACCGGTGTTTTTGCGTTTTGATGATCCATAAAATTTTATCCTCGTATAACAGAGGCTAAATAATCATTTGTGTTTTTTGTATGCTATTGCTTTTTGAGATTTCATAAACTGATACCAGTGTGATACTGTCTTTTCCTGCCACTGCTTTCATTAGAAGAAGGAGAGAGCTGTGCTCACCGAACGCGTGGCTCTGAATCTTTCTGGAACAGAAATTTATTAGTTTTTGAAACAGCTGTTCAGAATTAACTCCTAACACATCTTCTAACTGGGAGTGATGCCCGATTTCAAAAGTAACAGCAAGGATCATAAGTAAATAAGTTGAAACCATTCGTTTAGGCCGTAGAAGAAAAGTGATGCGAGTAGCTTTTTATGCGTTTTTTGCAGCTATGCAA